GGAAGAATGGCGCAGGACCTGCAGTACATGTTGTGCTAAAAGGGGACCCAAACATAAGGGATGTGCTCCAATGATGTTATATCAAGTTGGTGCACCAATGGAAAGAATAGCCATTGACATTGTTCGTCCTTTGCCCCAAACTCGTGCTGGAAACAAGTACATTTATGTGGTGATGGATTATTTCACCAAGTGGCCTGAGGCATATGCAATACCAAGTCGGGAAGCTACAACTGTAGCTTCAGCTATTAGTGATTTCTTCTTTAGGTGTGGTATGCCATATGAACTGCATTCAGATCAAGAGCGCAACTTTGAATCAGCTGTGTTCTATGAATGCTGCAAGTTGTTTGGCATACGAAAGACCAGGACAATGCCACTTCACCCACAGTCTAATGGGATGGTAGAAAAGTATAATTGGACACTGGGACAGGAATTGGCAAAGTTTTGTAATAGCTGCCAAGATGACTGGGATGTCTTACTCCCTCCACTGTCGATGGCCTATAGAACACCAGAGCATAAAACCACTGGATACACTCCAGCAAAGCTGATGTTTGGTCGGGGACTTCGGGCTGCCAGTGGACCTGATAACAGGACGCCCACTCTGAAAATGTGTCAGAGTTTGTGAAAGTGTTATCTGAAAGGGTGAATGATATTCATCATCAAGTGCGTTCAAATTTGAAAATGTCTGCTGAAGCTATGTTATGATAAGAGATCTACTGAAGTCAGCTTTGTACCAGGAGACAAGGTGTGGTTGTGTAATTCCAGGAAGACCAAAGTGAGGTCTCCTAAGTTGTCTTCTCAATGGGAAGGCCCATATGACATAGTGGATCGTCCCTCAGCCGTGACTTTTCGAATAAAATGTCATTGGCGAGGTAACTCAAAGGTGGTGCATGACAACAGGCTTTGGCGTTATCACGGTCCAGGTCATTTCAGTTGGAATAAAGTGAACACTGGAACAAATGAAGCTGCTGAAGACATATCACCTGAAAACGACACTGTCGAAGAAGAAACTCTACCCGGTTTTGAGAAAGGAAACAGTGAAGCCGTTAATGAAGTTACTGCCTCTATTGTGACTGCTACCTATAATGGAGCAGATGAAGCAGAAGCCAATGAGACAGAGACCAGTACGAAAGAAGAAAT